GGTGTTAGTGTGTGTGTTGGTTATTGTGTGGTAGTGTGTGTTATTGGTGCATGTGTGTGTGTGTGCGTATGTGTGTTGTGTGTGTTTGTGGTTTGTGTAGACACGATCTATGGTCATACAAAGTCTAGATACCAATATGGATCAATTCATTATAGAAAAGATATACAATCATTTAAAACCCTAATCCTGTCGAACCAAAATTTACAAATGAAGCCTAATGTACCTATGATTAAATGAAAGATTCCAAATCACAAAGATTCGAACCACCACCAATAATTCAACTAAAATGCTCCCCACACGTCTGTTTCTGGTAATCTCCTTAAGTTCCAAATTAATGAATCTCATAATAGCTACACTCAAGATAAAGAACGAAAGACAACACTATCACACTTATTATTCATCTTCTGGAAAGTAATACTCTGGACAGATCTCAGGTTTTGAGAATCGTGAGGACACGTGAAGAAAGAATAGGAGGAATGAACGCTACATATTATCAACTATCTGTCAGGGAGAGTCACGGAAGCATGTAATTTACAGTATTCAATTAGCAGTTACCTTCTAATAATAACCTGAAAATTAATCCTTTGAAGTTTATATTCCAAAATTATTATATTCTAGCTATACATATGATACCATACATACAAATATATATTGAACACTAATTAATAAATCTATAGAAGAATATATAAATAGTAGTATAGTAGTTATATAAGTATAAAATATATAAACATATATATAAATTTACTTAATATAATAATTAAAATAATATAATGATAATAGATCATTGATACATTTTATCACGTTTTTCACTAAACATTATAATATATAATATATATATAATAAAACTAATAATAACTATATAATTATAACATAATTTTAACCTATAAATAAAACAGATTGCCATTGTAAATACATTAAATCTAATTACTAATATACACTAGCTGCTTATACTACACTAATAATTTAATAATACTATATGTATGATACCATATATTATATATAATTAAATGTATATTTATTTTTAAATATAATTTTAATTAATTTAAATTATTATATCATATACAATATACAGTTGTCATGTAGATGCGTGTTGTTGTGGTGTGTGGGTTTGTGTGTGAGTGTGTGTGTTGTTGTGTAGTGGTGTTTGTTTGTATATGTCAATTAATACTATAATATCTTCTATACTTATATTAATTATTATCTTATTACATATATATATTTCATATTATTTATCCACCATATATTATCTATAATTTATATCTATATATATTCATGTAATATATAATCACTATGAGTATAAATCTAATCAATTTAAAATTTAAACACACTAGATGAAGAATTATCACCATAATAATCCATATACATTGTTACAAATACACTTGTGTGTATGTTGTAGTGCGTATAATATATAATAATTTTGTTATACAAATTGACACAAGTGAAAAACGATTTATTATTTATTTTATTTATAATTCTAATATATTTTAAATAATAAATGAATTATATATATAGAATAGTTATAAAATAAAGTACAGTGAGTAGTTAACATATAAACCCATTGTTAAAACCGGACTAGACAGATATAATAAGCTGGCTAAGTTGCTCATAAGTTGTATGTTATCTTTCTTGCACTTGATAAAGGTGAAGGCTATATCAGCAGCTTAACACGAGGAGGTGTCATGGAGTCTGTTTTTGACGCTTGTTCACTGCAAGATTAACCATTAATTGATCATTATTTTTTCCATAATTTTTTCGGAAATGAATGAAGACCAAAATGATCGACCAGTTTCACAAAGCAACCGTAACTTTTGTGTGGGACGTTCGATCAAAGAGCAAACCCATGTGCTTTTTCAGGCGCCACCGACACCTCCTCGAGTTGCTAGGCCTTCCCCATTTGATACACTCGGATATAAAGGAGTTGATGTGATTCTGTCCCTGATGTCTAACGTGCTTCGCGGTGATCTTCGATGTCTGGTTTTGAGGTCTCTCGTCTCC